TTTTTTTTTTTTTTTTCCCCTAATCGCAGAAAGGCCTCTCTGCCTAATCTAATTGCCACTCCTTTGTCACAAGCAGATGTCACTTTTACATCTGTGCGTCTGCTCAATCACCCCGTCTCCTCCAGCCCAGCAGATGTTGCCGCCGCCGAGGCCGCCGCGACCGAGGGGAAAAGCAAAGCGCAGATCCCTCTGCTGGCCGCCACCCGAACGCCACGGGCCTCCGCCGGGAGACGAACAGAGCAATAAAAGAGGAGGATGATGATGATGATGATGATGATGATGATGATGATAGTAATAATAATAATAGTAATAATAGCGTTATTATTATTACTATTTTTCCTCCTCCTTCTTTACTTCTTCATCACCATCACTATTGCAAATCCCCCCATTCCAACTGTTTTGGCAACAAGAGACGAGCCAAGAACGCATCCGGTCACCCGGCATCCTGAGCTAGCGCGGAGAGGCGCAGGGCCGACAAGCCCAGCCTGGGCAGCCACTGGGAGCGGGGAGCAGGGACAACAGAAAGTGGCTTTTCGTTTTATTTTTCTCCCGGACGTGACAGGTGGCCCGAGATGCGTTGGGAACAGGAATGGGTCCCCGCGCCCTCACTCTGTGGCCGGGGACAGCCAAGACCTGTCCGCGCCCCTCCGGTCCTGTCCCCCGGCACGGCTCAGCACCGCTGCGCTGCGGGGGCGCCGGGCTCCGCGCTGGGCTGCCCGCCACGTCCTGCGGCGGCCCGCACCCCAGGGAACCGGCCCAGGGTGCGGTGCGATGCTCTGGCCGCTCTCTCCGAGCAAAGCAATGCCCAAGAAACCCTGGCCTATGTTTAACATTTTATTCCGGCGGGTGGGACCGGCGCGGCGCGGTCGGAGCTGGGCCCGGGAGACGCTTTCCCATGGTCGGCGGCGGCCGTACAAAGGCGCGCTGTTCCCTGTTTTGTTCCGCTGCCTCCGAGCATTCCTCCCGCAGCCTGAGGGGAGCGGACCGGGCCCCTCTCAGTGCCCAAGGAGAGGAAAGAAAAGTGGCTTTTAAATACTCGGCGTGTTTTTCTCAGGCACCCGACCCCGTCTCGCCGCCAGCCGTCGCGCATCCCGCGCACCCTGCGCACCCCGCGCCCCTCGCGTATCCCGCACTGCTCGGCTGGGCCAGAGTTTACAACCGACACAAAAGGGCTCTTCTGGAAGGGGGGGGGCGGGGGGGGAAGAGTGGGGTGAAGCAAACGGGAGGCTCTAATTCTATTTGTGTCGCCTGGAAATCAGAAGGGGTTTTTCCACACTTCGCCTTGATTTGATTATTCCTTGGAGATGGTTTCTCTGCCCCCAGCCAGACGCGTGGGGGAAGGCCGCTGAGGCAGTTGGCCTATAGTGAGAATAATCAAATTACCCATTTGCTGCAACTTTTTCGGCAGAGCCGCTCGCGTGTAGAAAGAACAACTGGAGCCTAAATCCCTCGGAGGGGGAGCGGGTGAAGCCCCGGCGGAAAGGGGACGGGAGGGTGAGGGGTGAGGCAAACAATGCCCCGTGGCAGTGTGGAACCGGCCACGCCGGGGACAGCGGGACAGCCGGGGTGGCAAGCCCGGGGCCATCACAGGTGCCGGGGTGGACATCGCCACCGCCGGCGCGGGGTCCGATACAGAGTGGCAGCGGAAGGCAGCGCTGTACTGCTGCGGGGAAAGAAACGAGGCACAAAATGTGTCCCCCAGAGGAAACGCACTCGGATTTTTTTTTTTTTTTAATGCCCTGTGTTGTTTGAGAGGGGTGGAGGCACCTCCTTGCCCCAAACGCGTATTCATATTCATGAGAGCGCGGGTAAATAAAGACAAATCCCTGCTGTAGTAACACTTAGATTCACATCATTCTTTGGTGCCCTTTAGATTTGGGGGACGGAAGACAGATGTTTGCAGCGCTTTTCTCTTCTTGTCTGTTGACCATAAAGGGACAACCATTTAGAGCTCGCAATTTGTTTCCATCCTCGCACTAAAACCGTGTTCACATTTATTTTCATTTCGACGGTGCACAAAAAGTGTCCACGGGCCATCAAAGGCCGTTCTTTATCAAATACACATTGTACAACATGCAACCGCAATAAAACTATCAGACCTCGCCATAAAACCATCACCCGGATCCTCAGCGGCTCAAGAATCTTCTGCTTTGTTTTATTACCCACCGGTAACTCATAGTGACATACCCTCCCTCCCCTCACTCTCCACCCCCCCC